GAGAATGATGAAACAAAAGAGAAATCAGGAGAGACATGGAAATCGCCTAAGCATTCACATACACCAGGTTCAATTCAAGCAAAAGTTGATGAATTTACAAAAAACGTGCAAAAAACGTGTAGGAGAAGAAACAACACCAATATCACAAATTCATAAACAAGAATTAGTTAAATATAATTTAAAACACAATGATGTATCATTTTTACCATCATATTGATCAACTGAGTCATCATTTTATCGTGAACTAGTAAAAAATTATCCAGAATTACCAAAATCAGTGTCAGATCTTACGTTAACTGGAAATGGTGTAGTGATCTTCGCGACAATGTTTTTATTATCAAGGATTTACGTGAAAGTGATACACGTTTATTGGTATTTGGTTCCAAATGGGGTATTGAATATTTATCAGAAGTTGATACGTGGCATATGGATGGTACATTTAAACATTTTCCGTGGAGGTTTTCCAAAGATCCACTAAAAAATCGTATGCATAAACTGAAAACCTTATGTAATTTCTTCAACTCGATCTACATTCTATGATCTCTGCTAATCATTTCCTGAAGTTTGAGTATTTTTGGACGAGAAATGAGTGAAATACACGGTTTTTTTAATTTTTGACGGTAACAGGCGAAAAACCGGGTTTTCACCAAATTGAGTTTTCTGGAGTTGTGGTTGAGTGGGCAATGAAATGAACATCGCCACAATGATCAGTGTGGTCGATTAACTATCATCTACATGTTTCTGAGATTCCCAGATGTGTCTGCAACGTGATAGGTGTGTCCTTGGAACACGTCTGTATCTCCAGAACCAAAGGAGATGAAGACCTGGACCTTGCGTAGTTTTGAAGAGAAATCTTTTGGTTAATGACTGCTATTATTTGAGATTGAATGTCTCAGTGTATTTTGGGAAGGGTAAGCTTTCTGATTTTGTCTCGAATGGTCCACCATGGTAAACCTGATCGGTCGTCCTGATTTTTTCATAGATGTACGTCCCAGAGTGTCTAGTTACAGAATCTGAAAACTGCAGGTCTCTAGCTCTCTTCGTTGAAAAGTTATAAGCATTTTGTCGGAGCGCATTCTTTGTAAATTTCGATAATAGTATGTATATTCATTTCTCTTCTAAATTCACAGCCATATTAGCCTGATGATGATATTATGAAGTATCGAAAGCTCGCTTTTTTGTGTAAAATGATTTTACAAAAATGTTTTTCAACTATATTAAATATACTTAGTTTTATGAGAAACGTAAAAAAGTCAAAGAATGTCAATATAGAAAATTTGTACTAATAATACGTCAGAATCAATGTAAGGGGTAAAAATTAGATATGCATCAGTATTTATCGGTTGCGATCCCGTGATTTTATGAGAGAATAACTTTTAATAACGCAAAATGATCTACAAAATGATCTACACACAAATCTTCTACAATTGCGCTTTCTTTCTTGAATCAGTATTCAGATTAAAAATATTTACAAAATACCGAATGTGCAGTACTGATATCAGTACCGGTTAATGACTGTTCTGTTCGTCAAGCGATTGCAACAGAAAGAAAACAGATGAACTCCCAGTAAACATCGGTGCATTATTTAGTAATAATCAATAATATTTAAAGAATTCCTTTGTAAGGTGAAAAGCTTTAATAAGAATAATAGGACTAACTAAGGTGACTTTAGTCCTATTAATCGATAATATTATTGTTCAAATGTTTCTTTTTCTGATATATAATTCACAAACATTAGAGAGTATTTTCTATAAATTTCAAGCCAAAATGATGATTCTAAGTTGAAATAAAAAATTATTTTCAGCTATCCACAAAAGTAAAAAACATGCTGAGGAAAGCAAAATAAATCTATTCACGGAGAGTCGAGGTGATCTAAGTAATGGAGTATATGGCTTAAGGATTAGGACAACGTATATCACATACAAAGTTGTCGATCTGGGAGTTGTATCGAACGAGAGTGTTCAGAACAGTGAAACTAAGAAATCTCTGATAAATCTAAACGACTCTATAGGACGATCTATTATAGTCACACAAAAGGATACCGCCGGTTTTCACAAAATCTCTTCATTTAGATTTGCTCTGATAGCATAAAGTAGAGAATTAGAAGGCGCATAAATTTATACCTGGATATTTGTGGAATTTGATGCTGTGTGCTTGTTGAGAAAAATAGGGCACCTATATGATACCTATACAATAAAAATTTTTTCCTCAATAATCTTCGTACTTTTTGAAAAGCGGTTTTCATCGTGAATTAAAGGAGATCATTATGCATCTGTAGATGTACTTGCGGTACAGTACAAGTCTAAGAAGAAAGTAAACGATTCAAAAGATTAAAACAAAAATCAATTTTTCGAAATCAAAATTTAACTTTAGTTAAATTAAAAAAAATAAAGGTTTCTAGAAAATGATGTTCTTCCAAGTATTGTTGAAGAATAAAAATTGAGAAGAATTTTAGGAAATTTTGTCCATTCAAAACCTCTTATATCATGCAGAGTTGGATGTTGTTTAACGATACTCCTGTTTTTTTGAGAATATTATGAAATTTTAAGTATTCTTTCGAAGACTAAAAACACTTTAAGTTAGTGTTATAAATTTTTCTCTCCTTTCCAGTACCTTAAAATTTTCTTCTCATGCCTAGTCTGATGGAGCAAAGTGTTCTGTTCACATCGATACGTCTCTAAAAACTTTTTCCTAGTTTTTGGTAGAGCTATAAGCATGGCTACAAATGCCCCGAGAAATGTACCATATACAATATCGCTTGTACTACTCAAATGACACTTAAGTACGAGCAGTTATAATCCAGTAACATTAAGATCCCTCGAAAAAACAGTCTGATATAGCTCAAAGTTTTTCCACAGATACTTCAGAAACTGTCTCAAATTGTAAAATCTTAAGCGTTTTCGATTTCAACTTTCGATGTCGGAAAATGCCATCTAAAAGATCAGTCTTTGGTTTTAAAGCTAAAATAAAAAACTTTGATTTAGATTTTGAGTATTTCCTTGAATAATATTGAATATTTCTATTCTACGCTTATAGTGTTTCTCCGCTTATAATTTTCAACTATAGTTTAAGTCTACAGTGTCTGTACATGTGTAAGTTTTACTTTGAATGATGTGGACATTTTTTAATTTGAGTAAAATACTATTGTGTTTCTGAATTGATGCTAGATGTTTATATATGTATGCGTTGCTGTTTTTTATTATCTATTTTCATTTTCATGTGTAGATATATGTTAATGATTGTTATATGAAGGTGTCTTTGTTGCTCTTGAATTTTTTCTCAACAGACGAATACAACTGAAAATGTACGTATAGAGGATTGTAGAGAATTTGACGGGCTATCTGAATCTCTATTTACTTTGTCAAAACGAACACTTTATAGTGATAATATATGGAAAATACCGAGTTTGGTTATTTTTGGCCAAAGCACTATATGTATGCGTTGCTGTTTTCTACTATCTATTTTCATTTTCATATGTAGATATATGTTAATGATTGTTATATCATATTAGTAAAAGCAATTGATAGTATGGAAAGTCATTATTTAGCGTATAGCAAGAGCAGAGCTATCCTAGGAAGTGTCGACAGTGAGAAGTCTCCTCTGCAGAGGAGTAGCCTAGAGTAAGATCTGCCCGGACGAGTAGTTTCCGGGTAAGAACACCGTCTGGGGAAGATCGGACCGAATACCATAAAAGTGTTCTCTTTGAATTAAAGTTAGTTTAAAAAAAATAGTGTGAACCAAACCGTATGCTGATATTTGGAATATAAGTTAAGTGAGACAAGAAGGTGAAATATTATTCTCATTTGGAACAATATGAATAGTTGATGATTTTATATATGTGAAAGTGTTACTTAGTTGTATCGCATAAAATTATCATCGGTTAAATATAATGATTTAGTATCGATTAAATTATTAAATAATTTAATGAAAGAATTAAATTCCATGAAAAATGATGATTATAATCTATTAACGTTGGGTAATTTTTTATTAGATTCTGGACAATATAAAACAGCTGAAAATTATTATCAGATATTTTTAGATGGATTATTATTATCATCAACAATTGTTGATAGTAATATTAATAAATTAAAAGCTATTTTCTATAATAACATGGCAGTTTGTCGGTATGAACAAAACGATTATAACATTGCATTAAAATATTACAATGAATATATAGAAATATGGAAATCTAATAATGTTAATTATGATAATAATGATAAAAATCATCTGTATAAATCATATATAGAGAAAAGTGGAAAGAAATTAAAACAACAAATAATAATAAAATTATTATTAAATAAAAATTATTCATCAAGTTTAAAAATAGTTAATTATCATAATATAATTAGTTTATAACAGGAGTTGTAAAAGTTCCTCGAAAAATGTTCGTTCGTTTTTCTTCTGCTACAACATGTTTTGGAAAATTGCAAAATAGCTATTTAGAATCTACATTTCAAGAGCTTTCTAACTGTATGTTCACAACATTTTTATCACTTGTGACCTTAGAGCAGTAAGTGCATCTTTGATGGGCACTAACATGTAATCTGTAAACACACATGGTGCAAAGTTATAGAAGTCGACCTGTCTAAATACATACATTACGATTTGTTTTACTATGATATCTCAGAAAAGCGTACCTAAACTTTATGTAGTTTTGCGTGTTATCTTCCGACATATTTAAATCAAGAAGAGACAGATAGAAAAAACCGAAAAGTACCGAAACCTCCCGCAAGTACTTATCTGAGAATCTGAAGCACTTCGCAACGTATGAATGTCAAATAGAATGATATTTCTGAGTACTAGTTTTTGAAGCTCGTTGGCTTCGTATGTTAAGCAATTTAGGTATTCAACCTTTTGTATGTTGTAGTCAAAAAATGGACATGGTTCATGTGAATTCTTACGATTCTGTAACTGCAGCAGTAAGCGTTTTATCAATGTCAGCGATTGTAGAGCATGTGCTCCAGCAGAGTGTGACAACTACTGCGGAGAGAGCGAGAACTGAAAGAAAGGAAGAATATACAATGAATCAGAATGATAATGTTTGCTTACACAGTTTCAACACCGAACAAAGCTCTACAAACACCTAAGAAAAGTCCTTTTTCCACACGTTGATGACGGAACTACCGTTATATGTGTCGCTCGCTCCCTGATCACGCCATTTTATCGTAAATAGAAATTGAATTATTTTGTAGTCCAACAACGAAAGCCGTTATGAGTGAGCTTGAAAAATAAATTTTGAAGTCACGGACCTGTCGGGAAATAATTCTCGTATCTAAACATTTGTATTTCGATATTCATTAAGACAAAAAGCTTTATTTACCACTGATAGCACTTAATCAAGTCAAGTGAAAGATATTCCTAATCTCAAGGTAACGCAACTAACAACTTCTCTTTTGTGATTCGCATGAGCCGTTTCACGAACTAATCGACGCACTAGAATAAAATGAGGAGGTGTTTTAGCTTTTATATGCTGAGTTGACTACTAGAATTGCATTATTTCAACTAAATAAGCCTGTAAGAATAAAAGTACTAAAAAATCGAATACAGCTGAAAAGTGGAGCTTAAAAACACAAATAAAAAAATTTCTTTTCTGAATTTCGCTATTTCACATTTTATGGTAAGTTAAAGAAGAGTTAATTCTAAGACTTTAGATATATTAATGAGCCTGTAAAACTTCATACTTTTCCTATAATTTACGACAAACGTATGGCAAAAACCTACGCAAAATTCTCTCCTCTGAGAAAGAGTATTATCACTATTAGGCGGCATCTTAATCTCTTCCAAGATTGAGAAAACGAAAACCAGCTGGAGAAGTACATTTACACCACGTAGCCAGCAAAACGTTGGAGATGCAAGAAAAAATCACGCCTGGAATCATACGACAAACGTATGACTAAAACCTTTGCAAAATTCTGTCTTTTGGTATCAGAATAAAACTTTTTAGTCAGACTCGAGACGAATTTTACGTAAACTTCTATGTATTGAAAGTTTATTTCTGAGAATGTATTCGAAGACTTTAATTTAACCCATGAATTTTCGCAAACTCATTCGTTTAGTTTAGTATCAGAGCTCAGCACGGGTCGAGCTAGGTCTAGCTAGAAAATTCTTTAGAGTGATCGGGCCGGGCTTGGACCACAATTTATGTGTACAGCGAGAAAGAGTATTATCACTTTTAGGCGACTCTTAATCCCTTCCAAGGTTGAAAAAACGAAAACTAGCTTGAGAAGAACATTTACACCACGCAGCCAGCAAAACGTTGGAGATGCAAGGAAAAAATCACGCCTGCAATCAGAAAACTTTAAAACGTGGTTGCGCTGGGCTGAGCCATAAAAGTTCCAGGGTTGGTCAGGCCGAGCAGATAAATCCCACGTTTAGTCGGGCTGACCCGAAAACTTTCATCATCGGGCCGAGTCAGACATTTTCAACCCATACGAATCTCTAGTTAATATGTTGCTCACAGTGTTACCGTTTTTCTAGTTTTACTTTAATTAATACAGATTAATTAGAATATTTTCAAACTTGAGACACTATGTAGACAAACTGGTATACTCGTTCAATTCTCGCCAGTTCGTCTTCACTCTTTTAAACACGCTTTTCAGATAGCCCCCAAATCGATCGTCTGTCACCCCGGATGATGAACAGCATGAACTCATTTATAGAAAGAACACCTATGGAGCACAATGGGCATCCAGGCGGACTTTTGGCGAAAACTTGAAAGTGCACTTTTCGGTGATTCAAATAGTAATTTATATACTTTGGATCACGCTCTAATCGATAATGAAACAATTTTTTCCTTAGGGCATACTTATGTTGGAAAAATCACATACACAAAACTGAGTTGTAGGTTTTCCAGAAACCACTAGCTTTTGACGGTATTTTTCATGTTTCTCCGCCAGAAGTGTTTTTATTCGATGAAACTGACATATTCAGAATCAGCGCAAGAAACTGCGTCGAATGATGCGCGGTTACTAAGTTTCTCTGAGTAAAACCATGTTGGATCTAACGAAATGCAAAACTCGAAGCATACAGTCACATTTTTGGCTAACGCTTTTCATAGTTGCTATAGAAGCAGTTCGAAAATTTATAAACACCTTTTATAGTTTTTCGATATGCTCTTTCCGAAGATACGCTCTATACAGTTCCAGAATACTTATGTGTGTGTTTTCCAGAGACCCGATCTCTGGAGAACCGAGATGAAAGCCTCTTTGAACTTCGTACAACACACTATTGTAAAGAGCATATCTGAAAACCTGAAAAGAAGCGTTTATAGACTTTCGGACTACTTCTGTAGCAAATGTCCGCCCTACCTACGGAAAATTGCACACTGTGTCGAGCGTCTGAAAATATTTTTCTACTTCGAAAGCTTTTCACGTACAGCCGTTACAGCTGACTCGATCAAACGCCGACTAGGATGAGCAAGCGGCAATGTTCTTCGTACGATACTAAGCGTCTTTTCATAAGATTCCAATGCTTTCTCATAGTCACCTTGATTGTTATAAACCAGTCCGATGTTATTATATGTTGTTGCAATATCAGGGTGATTTGGTGGAAGTGAAATGAGACTGATTTCAAGAGATTTTTCATAAGATTTCAATGCTTTCTCATAATCACCTTGATTGTGATAAACTGATCCGATGTTATTATATGTTGTTGCAATAGATGGGTGATTTGGTGGAAGTGAAATGAGACTGATTTCAAGAGATTTTTCATAAGATTTCAATGCTTTCTCATAATCACCTTGATTGTGATAAACTGATCCGATGTTATTATATGTTGTTGCAATAGATGGGTGATTTGGTGGAAGTGAAATGAGACTGATTTCAAGAGATTTTTCATAAGATTTCAATGCTTTCTCATAATCATCTTGATTGTTATAAACTGATCCGATGTTATTATATGTTGTTGCAATAGATGGGTGATTTGGTGGAAGTGAAATGAGACTGATTTCAAGATCTTTTTCATAATATTTCAATCCTTTCTCATAATCACCTTCATTGTTATAAACCAGTCCGATGTTATTATATGTTGTTGCAATATCAGGGTGATTTGGTGGAAGTGAAATGAGACTGATTTCAAGATCTTTTTCATAATATTTCAATCCTTTCTCATAATCACCTTGATTCTTGTAAACTGATCCGATGTTATTATATGTTGTTGCAATAGATGGGTGATTTGGTGGAAGTGAAATGAGACTGATTTCAAGATCTTTTTCATAAGATTTCAATGCTTTCTCATAATCACCTTGATGCCTATAAACTGATCCGATGTTATTATATGTTGTTGCAATATCAGGGTGATTTGGTGGAAGTGAAATCAATTGAATTTCAAGAGATTTTTCATAAGATTTCAATGCTTTCTCATAATCACCTTGATGCCTATAAACTGATCCGATGTTATTATATGTTGTTGCAATATCAGGGTGATTTGGTGGAAGTGAAATCAATTGAATTTCAAGAGATTTTTCATAAGATTTCAATGCTTTCTCATAATCACCTTGATTGTCATAAACTCCTCCGATGTTATTATGTGCTAATACATGAGCACTTTGATCTAGCGAGGTGTCATCGAGCAACATATGGAAATATTGCTCTGCTCTACTATTTTCACCCATTCTGATCAGCAACATACCCAGCGTGTTCAAGTCGTTCGATTCACCAAGTTCACGCTTTATATGGTTTGTTAACAGGCTTAACTC